CAGAAATACTTATTTATATTAGAACAGAATGTATGTAAAAGAATTGCAACCCCTGTTTATTAACTCATATTTCTTCTTGGTAGTAATTTGAAGCATGGGAGATAATACCATTCTATATAAAAAGTGAGGTTGAAAAATCAGGACATTTGCAACCTTTGAGAAATTGGAGAGTTTAACATATTATGAAGACATGAAGAATATAAGCAAATTTGCAATGGACTGAAGGCTCAGACTTAGAGCTTAAAAGAATTTATATCTTTAGTAAAAAAATATTTGTGCAAGGCCTCTCAAAAGCTGCATGCTGTCAACTGTTCCTGTTCTTTAGGAACATAAACAGGATCTAGGGACAGCTTGTGCAAGAAAACAGTTGGAATACTGGAATACTATAGTTTTTCTGTAGCCAGCTTATTTTTCGTCATCACCCTGTGTACGAGGGAAGTGTCAAGAGGTATTATGAAAAAGTCTTAGCCCATTTAATCAGCAATTATAAGAATAATTTAGTATATTTTAAAATTCCAGCCTTTAAAATGCTGACAGTGCTTCAATAGCTGGACTCTTCAGAAAATTCTGAAGAATAGTTACAATAGACAATCCTTATGGTAACAAAACTGTATATGCTACACAGCCTTCATTTATTTTACATTTATTCTGTATTTATATCCTAATTCTGTTCCTCTACTTCTTTTTACTTATTGCTTAAATACCTAATTGATAATTTATTGGAGTTTAAAGTATGATAATGTGTGATAACAAAAGCTGGGAATGGGGCTGTGCTTTGGGAAACTGTATGGTCTATGAGTTAGCTACTTAAAGATATATGTATATATGTATGTATGTATGTATATGTGTATATATGTTATAAAAATAAATAAATTCGAACACCAGGATAATATCAAACAAAAAGCTGTTTAATATAAATGCTGAGCTTTCATCAGCCAGCAATGCCAACATGATCAGAGCATAAAAGGAAGTTAATGGGAGTTCTTTTTATGTTACCGGCCGGCTTTGTGCCCAGCTTTTCGACCTAGTCATTGGTCCACTTGATGTCTCTAATTGTTTTGTTTTTAAAGGGCACGCATTTGCTCCTCCCTTGGTAGTTTCCAAAAGCTCAGCATTTATATTAAACAGCTTTTAGTTTGATATTATCCTGATGTTCAAATTTATTTATTTTTATCGCGTGGCTTTACCCAGGATTCTCATTTTTAACATAATTATATATATATCTATGGAAATATTATCTTTGTTGTAGGTATTAATTAAATATTAATAAATATAAATATAATATAAATATAAAATATTGTTTTTAAATATAAAATATTAAACGGAATATTTATAAAGATTAAAGATGGAATAAGCATGTGCAAATCCAGATGGTTGCTATTTGTTGATTACCATGGTTGCCATTTGTTGATTTGTTGATATAAAAGAATAATATTAGTATTAATTTTGAAAAGTACGGAGATATCATAGTTTACTGAATCAGTTGCCTAAGTCAGTACAGCTATTCTTACCAAAGTATCCATTCTTTCAGGGATAGCATTAGTATTCACTAACTTGACCTTTTATTATAATTAATGCCTTTATAATAGTTACTTCAGTTTGAATGAGAACAGTACCCATCTTACTTATTTTTATATATTTTATTGCTATCATTAGAAGAGTTCTCATGAAAAAATTTCCTATTATTAAAAAAATCCTATTATTAAGAAGAGCTGACTTTAGTGTTGACATCATGTGAATATTTTAACAAGGTATGGAATGCATGTAGAGCTTTTACCAACTTACCAGAAGTGGCCGTGGGAGATTTTGGTATTTACTTTGTTTAATCAAAAACTCTAATAGAAATTACTGTTGCATCTGTGTAGGTGTTTGGGTGAACATATCTGCTTCCCACTGATGTTGTGGCTATGTGTGAATGTTTGTATGAGTGCATTAGGAAACACATATGCTGTATTTTAGGTCATGTGAGCAGGTGGGAGAAGGGAAGTGGCTTAGACTGGAGAAATCAACAGCATTCTGAATCAGTGCCATTACATTTTATCCTGGGAATTCATTTGTGATATTTTTCTTTATTGTTTTCTCTATAGGTCTCAGCATTATCCAGTCCATTTTTAAATTTTATCTTTCTTTTGCTAACTTTCCCCTGAATCATCAAAATGTTCACTTTTCAGAATTATTCTGTTGATGGCAGACAGAATCTTAATTCCCTATTGTTAAAATATCAATATCTTAATAAAGAAACAACTCTATAATTTGTACCCCATTTTTCTGTTGACATTTGCTGTTATAAGTTTGTATATCATGTTAACCTTTATGTTTTTCCTCTTTTATATTATTAGAATTTTAGATGATCTGAATTTGAAGGGATTGACTTGAATAAGGGGAAAAGGTTGCAAAATTAATCAAGGGCAAGCTTCAAAGAACTTTAGAAATGTTTTATGAATGATCAGCCCATATGCAAAAAAGTATTTATTCAGTTTATATCTTGCTTTTTCCACTCTGCCTAAATATAAGGAAATTACAATATCTAATTAAAATTTAGAGACATTTGGATCCTATATGTTAAAAGTTAAATTTAATTGATCACTTTTTACTCTTTTTTTAACAGTATTTTTTTCTTTTTTGTTCTTGTTAGGGTTGAATACCCATTTGTTTGTTTGTTTTACTGTTTTGTATTTTATTTTCTATGATAAAAAATAATATTAAAGAGAAAATTTAGAGAGAAATCAGTTTAAAGCATACAAATATTGTAAATAAAAATAAACTGTACCCACAAGTTCAAACTACTTTAGAAACCTGATCAACTGGCATGTTCATCATTAACAAGCTTTGTTCTTTAATAAAACAGTATCAAAAAAGGGGGGCTAACTTGGGCTTCTAGTGAAACCTGGTTGTTAAATACTTGTGCTCTTGTCTCTGGTCAATCATCTGACTACAGTATTCTAGAAAAGCAAAAAAGTGGCCCCATTTAGAATGCATTATATGCTAGTAGTTCAAGAAGCAGTTAACTAAGGCATTTATTACTGACGTGGCATAGTTAGCACCGTAACCATCCCACTTGTGCAATTCTAGTCCTGTCCATTACTAAACCTTCAGCAGTACATTCAACAAGGAGCCTACATCTTTAAGAGGGGTGTATCCCCTGCCAAAATGTTTGAATTCATATCCCTCTGTTAAATTTTAGTCTGTGCCCTGAAGCTGTATCATTACTCAAATTAGATACTTTTTAGAATTTAAAAAATTCCTTTGATTCCAGGAGAGATTCGATTGTTTGGCATGAAAAGCAAATCTCAAATATCTCTCTTCAGTTTGAAGTACATATTAAGTATTCATTTGACTCGGAACAGTTGTTTAGCTTACTACAGTAATGCAGTTGAGCTGAAGATAAAACCTTGGAAGGGGCTAATGTATTTGTATTTGTGAGTGCGTGCACAAATTCCTAATATGTATAAGACTGATCTATAAACTTATAGCATCTATAACTAAATAGGAATAATGAAATATGAAATTCATGTCTTATTTAGTTATATTATCTCTGGCAAAATACAAACAAAAATGCAATATTTTTTGAATAATTTAACTTACCTAAGCTCACTGAAATAATGCAAAATATAAAGAGAAAATTTTGCAGTGGTGTTTACAGATTGTCTGTTACCAGCTATCTTTACACAAAATTGTAGATGGCAGAGTGGATTTTAAGAACTAAATCGACATGCACATGATTAAATGACAGTTTCAAAGTTAAAAGTTTATGCTATGTAAGATTCATGTGATGCTAGATATATTGTTTCACAAGAGCTATCTTTATGTGTAGAGAAAAGCAACTATTGATTATTAAATGGGTGTATATTGTAATATCCTACCAAAATCTTTTTTTTTCTTACCAAAAGAATTGCTCTTGTGAGACTTCATTGTCTGCTGTCTTTACTTTTTCCAACAACTCTTTGGCTATATGAACTGACTGTACATACCTTATACTGATTTAGAAGGGGAGCTTTGTGTTTTAATATTTGTAAATAACTGGTATCACATTTTGTTGAGTTGTCTATAGTAAAAATCAAACAGGACATGCTATCATTTTGTTTTTGATGACATATTTTTATTTTTGCTTTTTATTCTTGCTTTGCTGTTTTATATCATTGTATCAGTAAAACTATGCAGTACTATTCCCAAAATAGCACAACAACCCTGAAACTTTGGCGCCACTATTTCACCAATGTATTGTATATTTCATTTTTTTTAAAAAAAACACATGATATTTTAATTCTGTAGTTATATAAGCACAACATCTACGCCCAAAGTATAAGAGATTATTGCTTATTCCTTTGCTTTCTTAACATAGATCTTACATAATTTTGTTTGAGAAAAGAGATTTTTAAACAGTTGTTTTGAATAAAATTGTACGTTACATTTTGTTTTTCAATTCTGTGCAAGTATTTGCAGTTAAATATACTATAATTTAAACAATGTGAATGCAATCTGCCTTAGCAGCCCTGATGACAGAAATACATCAATAAACCGTGAAGATTTCCCATTTAGTGCATACATCTGTATCAAAGTGCTGTTCCTTTTTCATTTCAGTTTTGTCCTAAAATTTCTTGTGTGTGTGTGTGTGTGTGTGTGTGTGTGTGTTTTATTCCTCATTCCTCCCACAATCATGCATATGTAAATTCATCTTTTTTTAAAAAAAAAAGCCTATTCTTTTAATAAGTTAGCTGTTGATATAAAGATTCGGGAAATGTTCCCATCTCCCCCCTTCTTTCAGAATGCTATTTGCGAACCTTTATTTCAGAGCTATATTTTTCTACTCTGAAGTGTCTTCTTTATTTCTTTCTTCATTACAAACTACTCTGAAAGAGCTTTTCTAACTAAAAAAAAGAGAGCTATGCTTGACTGATAATGCATTGCTTTGGATGGTGAAACATTATGAAAGTTTAATTTTTAATTAAATCTGAAATAGCAATTATTACTGAAAGAGATTTTAACCTGTTTCTTTTCAGAGTGCCTGAAGTTACATTTTAGATGCTGAAATCACTGCACCTTAAAAACAAAAAAAGGTTGAATTGAATTGCATTACTGTAAGTAAAAGATTTTCTAATACTTTTTGATAAACACACATTAGCAGAATATGTGGATCTAGGAATATACACAAACGTGCACATATCAATACATAACAGCAGTTTACGTTATACTTTATATTTTTGATGATACTTATTATAGACCCTATATATTTTATTTGTGCTTTCTGATTTATATATAATTATGAGCATTATAAAGCTTCATCTCCATTTGTATAAATTTGAGAATAGGAAAGAGCTTCTTGGGAAGCCACAGGAAGATTCAGATATATCAAATAACAGAAGATGCATAATTCCTTGAGTGTTTGTTTTGGATATCTGAACTATTGCACACCATAATCAAAATAGTACAGTTTATTTCTTTTGAACAATTAAGAAATTATTTCCAAAATCAAAAAGAGGTGGATATTAAGTTGCAGTATCTACTTTTAGTTTCTTGTTAGAATTCTTTAACTCCACTAAGTGAATCCATTCGCAGAATGATGCTCGTGAGGATTAATATGAGGAATCCATTTTCACTAAGTCTGTGTTATTAAATAGTTATTAACCTTTTCAGATTTGTTTATAGTTAGCCAAAAAATTTCTAATAGATTTCTTGCTAAAAATGCAAATTAGTATACAATTTTTCCTTCTTTTGCATTTTTAATTGGGAAAATATATTTATCAGGAATTGCAGAACTATCACAGTGTTTTTAGAGCTGTTTCTTTTTATACATAGTACTATATCTTAATCCTTTCTCTCTTGACTGATACAGGAGTAGTGGACTTAGTTTTACACACTTATGCATGATGCTATTTGGTTTCATTTACTTAAAATGCTGGTTTCTTTTCTTTCTCATTTATCTTTGTGTATGTCAACATTCATTATCTTACTGTGCTTTCATAATTATTCCAATTGCAATGTAAAAAAATGCAGTTTTTTTCTTCTCTGCCTCTGAATTTGTGTTCTGTGTCATTTTCCAGTACATGACTTCAACTCATCCATCCCTTCACACAATACATGACTATCCCTTATTCTTGTTTCTTTGTCTTAGCACCTTTTTTCTTATCAGTAGTTTCCTTGCTTTGCTTTGTCACATTTCTTTACTTTATATTCAGTGACTGGTTTTCTGATTGGAGAAGGGATAAAATATGGTTAATCAATTTTTAATAAGTACTGTTAATCTACCTGCTTCTTCTGAATTAGCAAGAATGCTAATAGTAGTAGTATTAATACAATTTTTATGTTGTTTTAATTCTTGAGAGGGAGCCACCCAGAATTTGGTATAAGATAGGTGGCTATGTAAAGGTTTAAATGTTATTTCTGATATAATGGGACAAAAGTCTTCTTTACTTAACAGAATTTTCTTTGGGGTACATAATATAGGATTGGTTTAAAATTGGAATATCAATACTAAGGTATTATATTTAACTCTGTTGGTTTACCTATTCTCCTTGCTTTATTAATCTCCAATTCCTTTTTTGAGCTCATGAATCTTTTCTAAATGTATTCCCAATTTGTTGATTGTTTTGCAACATAGCAATTGATAACCCTTATTTTTATAGCAGCAAGCTTATCTGAAAATAAACTGAAATGTTCATTCCAGACTACTCAGCCTGGTTGGTTTTTACAGGTACTTATTATTTTTTGTAAAAATACATAAAACTGATTTTATTGTATCAGAGTTCATCTAACTAAGGAGTAAGCAAGTTAATTATGGGCTGAATATGGCTTCCTATATTAGGCTCTATTCAAGTATCCAGTAGCTTCCCAATCTGTAAAATAGAGTTTATCGTGTGTTGCAATGATTTTAGTATTTAATCTTCTAAATAGTCCAGACAGTTTCCTCAGTTTGACCTTTTTTATAGCTTATTGTTAAAGGTTCATTCATTTTTTTTCTGATTTTCTATGATCTTGTGTAAATTTTGCTTATTTAAATAGGGAAATTCCCTTCCTTCCTTCCTTCCTTCCTTCCTTCCTTCCTTCCTTCCTTCCTTCCTTCCTTCCTTCCTTCCTTCCTCTGTTATTTTCTACAAATAACTCAAATTGACAAACATATCCACCCCCTTCCTCCTCTTATTTTCTCAACAACAACCCTGTAAGGTGGGTTGGGTTGAGACAGAGCAACTGGCCCAGTATCACACAGTTTTATATAATTTAGAGTAATATTGATGAAATATGTTTGCATGTTTAAATTATCAGTTATTAAGTTATTTCTATCTTTTACTTTAGTATATTTTTCTGTTTTTGTTCGTTCAGTTTATATATCAATCATTTACCTGTTTATTTATAAATCCAAAATTAATTTAAGTTGCATAAATTATTTTTAACTCCATTTCTCTTACTGTTAACAAAGACAACTGCAGCATTGTGACTTTCTTTTTCGCGGGGCTGTGATTGCTGGGTGCAAAAAAGCCCTTGCCAGCTGTTTGGCTAAGCAGCTGCTGTCTCAACTGTACTCTACTTGGAGATCATCCTGCTGCTGTGGAGGTGCTATTCTTCTGGCTGCGATGATGTGGGATTTAGCATGGCTCTTAGCTGGCTTGGAAGTGTAGCTTCTACAACTTCCACATGTTTTTCTTCTCTTCATTTCTCTTGCCCCATTGACTTTTGGACCTTAACCATTTTCATTAGTCTATTCCATTAGCTGAGCTTGATTTGCTTCTGTTAGACAATTATCTGATCCAGTGTCAAGTTCCATCACTGATCTAGATCTATGCCACTTCATTTTCCTGGCCACCTTGGCAACAGATCTCTGCTGCAAGGAACTGTTGCTGTTGTTGATCGCCACAATGAATGGCATTCCCCCTAGAACTGGCTCCCATTATTGAAAACCCATTGTTAATTTACTGAGTAGCTGGATTCTCTTACTATTACCATTTATGCCTGCAGCACTTACGTGTGGTAAGGCACTCCAAAACTTGGAAGCCTCATCATGACTCAGAATTTATCAGTGGAAAGAATGCAACTGTGTCATTTTTTGCCATTGCCCCAAAACCTTCACCAGTGTTCATTGTGACCAACTTAAAAAACTTCTCACTCTTTTATGGATGAGCCAATCATGCAAACAGTAGGCCACAAATGATTCAAATCTAACTGCTCACTCACAATATTTATTTGTGCTTTCTTATGACTTCAAGATTGTAGCTACAATTATGCCTTTAAAAGAAATAGCATACTGTACCATCTTTTTTGGCTGAAGGTTCACCCTGTCAGAGCAAAATTTCTGATAAGCAGTCCTCCCATGCTTTCCCATTTTTACCTTTAAAGTAAAGTATTGTATGTCACTTTGTGTTATTAATATACCATTATTCTTGTTTGTGTTTTCTTATAGCATGATATTGCAGCAGACTGTACAGGAATAAATTTTGGTTACTCAATAGGCATTGTTCAATGACAAATTAGTACTGTACATGCTGACTAACATAGTATGGCAATATGGCTTTTGAAGGTATATTTTTGTCAGCACTTAAGGCTACATCTTTCTTGGCCCTTTCTTTCGATACTGTACTTTGAATTACTTGAGAGCCATTTTTTTGTTATGTGTGACAAATGGTTCTTCCAAGTTGATGAGATGTGCATATTTTATTGTTTCCAAAGCAAGAGATCACAAGTGTGAAATGAAATATTGCAGGAGGCATAAAAGTGCAGAGATGAAGGTAGAATTTGCATTGGCTTCACTTCAGCACAGATGGTGAAAAACTTGAAGCTACTTTTGGGTCCTGAGACCTTGCCCCCTCGGGCTAATAAATAATGGAAGAAACTGGGAAAATTAATTCCACTGAGATCAAATGATTCATACTTTTTAAAAATATGAGCCATGGGAAACCTGCCTGCAGTTCATTGTATTCTTGTATGCTTTGAAATATTTATTCAGTATCGTAGGATTTCTAATCAACAGTTAATCAAGTCTTAATAAAATGAGGTATACTCTTAATGCAACATAGGCTTCCCATATTTCCTGTTTGCTGAATTGGAAGAACAACTGCATCTTTATCATAGTATAATGAACCAAGAATATCCAAAACTAAAGTGTTGAATTGCAGGCACAATGAAGCTGAACCAGGCTGATGTAGCAAAGAAAATATTCAAATTTCATTTCAGGAATAGGTCACTAAAAGCAGAGTGTTAATAAGTATAACAGACTAGATTATTGTTTAGACAAAGGCAGAAGGTGAGATGCATGATATAATGATGATGATGATGATGATGATGATGATGAAGAAGAAGAAGTTGGAAGGGACCTTGGAGGTCATCTAGTCCAGTGGTTATCAACCTTTTTAATGCCGCGACCCCCAACCGGTCGTAAATTGAAGACTACTCAACCGGTCGTAAGTCGAGGACTACTCAACTGGTGCAGCACCGTTTGCAGAATGGGACTTTTGGCAGGCTCAGCAGGGCAGAGACAGCCTGGGCAATTCCTATTGGCTTTTGAAAGCCAATAGAATTAGACTCTATTCAAGAGAGTCTATTCTATTGGCTTTCAAAAGCCAATAGAATAAAAGAGAGTAGCACAGATAAGGAAAAGGGGAAAAAATGGCGGACTACATTGTTTGGCAACCCCCGTGAAATGGTCGTTCGACCCCAAATGGGGTCCCGACCCACAGGTTGAGAACCACTGATCTAGTCCAACCCCCTACTAAGGAGGAAACCCTGTACCATTTCAGACAAATGGCTGTCCAGTCTCTTCTTAAAAACTTCCAGTGTTGGAGCATTCATCACTTCTGGAGGCAGGTTGTTCCACCAGTTAATTGTTCTAACTATCAGGAAGTTTCTCCTTAGTTCTAGGTTGCTTCTCTCTTTGATTAGTTTCCATCCGTTGCTTCTTGTCCTGCCTTCAGGTGCCTTGGAAAATAGCTTGACTTCCTCTTCTTTGTGGCAGCCCCTGAGATATTGGAATACTGCTATCATGTCCCCCCTCGTCCTTCATTAAACTAGACATACCCAATTCCAACAACCGTTCCTATGTGGTTTAGCCTCCAGTCCCTTAATCATCTTTGTTGCTCTTCTCTGTATTCTT